GGAGCTGACGTCTGGTATTTTTTGGTGTTATCTTTGGAAAGCTGTCGCATGCAAGCTGCCCAATGATTACCACGTTGAACTGTATCTAGGGATACTGATTCTAGACACGTTGGGAATAATTTAGGTCTTCCACAACGCAAATCTGTGGGATCAGGAAGACTTTTAGCAAAAGCTACATAACGATAACCCAGGACTTGACATCAACACTACTTCAATTTGTCAAGCGCATCTTCTCTGCCATCTCACTGTCACGGCCGAGAGCCGGAGCACCGGCCACCCCGGACCTGGACAGGACGGGAACCTGAACCCACAGCTGGGCTCGGCTCCCACGCCGCTGGGAAATCCTTAGTCCGAAGCACGTGACCCCCACCTCCTTGAATGGCTGACGGAAGCCACGACTGTCGGTCGCAACTGCCAGCGGGACGGATTGGACGGCGGCTCCCCATGGACCGTGCGCACCTCCCCTACACAACCGATTCAGGTGCATAAGCTCCAAGCTGTCCTTCTCAGGTCTCTGTGAGACAGGTGGTCGTCGCCAGCTACAATCCCGTACCTTACGCAATCTTCACCAACTTCACGGCCACTGCCTTTCTTCACCACCCGTGGCCACGATGACGGCCCAACCTCTGGAAACCCTCTCCGGAGGCAGCGCGCAGAACACAAGAACTCTTCTCAGAGTCATCATCTTGGGCTTGATCGCAGCTGCCGCCATTGCAAGCCGTCTCTTTTCCGTCATTCGTAAGTGCCCCTCGACACGTTGCTCCCGATCGCCTCCAGCGCCAATTGGCCGACTGGTGGCTGCTTCATGCATTGCAACTTCTCAATTCAAGAAACTATGCTAATCTCGATTGAACAGGCTTCGAGAGTATTATTCACGAATGTCGGTTTCCCTCGTCGCGACCTCCTTCCTGCAGACACGTACTGACTATCCGCAGTCGATCCCTGGTTCAACTTCAGAGCCACCAGATACCTTGTAGCCAATGGATTCTACAAGTTCTGGGATTGGTTTGATGACCGCACATGGCATCCTCTTGGTCGGGTTACTGGAGGAACCCTCTACCCTGGTCTGATGGTGACCAGCGGCGCCATCTACCATGCGCTTCGAGCTCTTACCGTCCCCGTCGATATTCGCAACATTTGCGTTCTTCTCGCGCCCGCTTTCTCCGGCCTCACGGCCTACGCTGCCTACCTTCTTACGAATGAGATGACCACATCCCCCTCGGCCGGTCTCCTTGCTGCGGCCTTCATGGGTATCTCTCCCGGTTACATCTCTCGATCCGTTGCTGGCAGTTACGACAACGAAGCTATCGCCATTTTCCTTCTCGTCTTCACCTTCTACCTGTGGATCAAGGCATTGAAGCTGGGCTCCATGCTTTGGGGAGCTCTTTGCGCCCTCGCCTACGGCTACATGGTCGCCTCTTGGGGTGGTTATGCCTTCATCACCTGCATGCTTCCTCTGCATGCCTTGACCTTGGTCTGCATGGGCCGCTACAGCACCCGTCTCTACGTCAGCTACACCACTTGGTACGCTCTGGGCACTCTGGCCAGCATGCAGATTCCCTTCGTCGGTTTCCTGCCTGTCAAGACTAGCGAGCACATGCCTGCTTTGGGTATGCCGAATTGTCACTTTTTTATGACGCCTTAGCTAACACGCACGATACAGGCATGTTCGGTTTCCTGCAGCTGATCGCCTTCATCGACTATGTCCGCAGCGCCATTCCCAGCCGTCAGTTCCAGACCTTTGTCTTCACCTTCCTGGCTGCTACTTTCGGTCTTGCGCTGGCTGGTCTGGTCGCCTTGACTTCTCTCGGCTACATTGCTCCTTGGGGCGGCCGTTTCTACTCCTTGTGGGATACCGGATACGCCAAGATTCACATTCCCATTATCGCATCCGTCTCTGAGCACCAGCCCACCGCTTGGCCTGCGTTCTTCTTCGACCTTAACCTGCTTATCTGGCTGTTCCCCGCCGGTGTTTACTTGCTTTTCCAGGACCTCAAGGACGAGCACGTCTTCGTCATTGTTTACGCCCTGTTCGGCAGTTACTTCGCCGGTGTCATGGTGCGCTTGATGCTCACTCTGACCCCTATTGTCTGCGTTGCAGCTGCCATTGCTGCTTCGTCGATCCTGGACACCTACATGGTCGCCAAGTCTCCTAACCCTGAGGATTACAAGGGTGACGAGGCCACCGAGGCGGCTCTCAAGAAGGCCAAGCACAGCGGCCTCAAGTCGACCAGCAAGCCCCTTGTCGGTATCTACACCTTCCTGTCCAAGGGTCTCGTTGTTGGTGGCATGTCCATCTTCCTGCTGCTCTTCGTTCTCCACTGCACCTGGGTTACCTCCAATGCCTACTCGTCGCCTTCCGTCGTTCTTGCGAGCAGAATGCCCGACGGCAGCCAGCACATCATTGACGACTACCGTGAGGCCTACCAGTGGCTCCGCCAGAACACCAAGGAGGACGCCAAGATCATGTCTTGGTGGGACTACGGCTACCAGATTGGTGGTATGGCGGACCGCCCTACCTTGGTTGACAACAACACCTGGAACAACACTCACATCGCGACTGTTGGTAAGGCGATGAGCTCTCGCGAGGAGGTCAGCTACCCTATCATGCGCCAGCACGAGGTTGACTACGTGCTTGTCGTCTTTGGCGGTCTTCTGGGCTACTCCGGAGATGATATCAACAAGTTCTTGTGGATGGTTCGTATCGCTGAGGGTATCTGGCCTGAGGAGGTTCAGGAGCGCAAGTTCTTCACCCCCCGCGGCGAATACAGAGTCGACGACGGAGCTACTGAGACCATGAAGAACAGCTTGATGTGAGTATCTCCTTCTTCACTGCTAAGCAACACTTACTGACAACCGTTTAGGTACAAGATGTCGTACTACAACTACAACTCGCTCTTCCCTCAGGGTCAGGCCCAGGACCGTGTCCGTGGTGTCCGCCTTCCCGACGTTGGCCCTACCCTCAATACCTTGGATGAGGCCTTCACCAGTGAGAACTGGATCATCCGTATCTACAAGGTCAAGGACCTTGACAATGTCGGCCGTGACCACGCGGCTGCTGCTGCCTTTGAAAGAGGCCAGAAGAAGAAGGCGCTGAAGAAGAAACGCGGCCCCAGAGTCCTCAGAGTGGACTAAAGTGGTAGCTCTGACCATGACTACCCGAGAGCATTTCTCAATTTCTTTGTATCAGGACTGGGATAAGGTGGCATTAGATTCCACTTGTAGACAAAAAAGCACACTCTGGTAAATGTACAATATCCGATCATGATTTGTTCTTTGTGACCATTCTCTCTGCCTTTCCCTTTGATCTAAAGTGGTGTGCCATCAAGTGGAAGTGAAGATAGCTTCACCACTGATGTGTACTTTGAAATTATAGCAACATTATGAGATGAAAGGCGATCCGTTTTCATCTGTCTTGAATGACACCATGGCCTGGCATCTAACGTGTACATGTGCTAGAACATCTAGGATCTCATGCACTTATCTACTTAAGAGGAGCCCCTGCTTCTTCAGGAAGTCTCAGACCAAGTCACTGTCTTGTTAATAGGGTAGGCATCGTGAACCTCGTGTTTCCTGTTCTAGATTATCAGGCCGTAACCCCAGAGCGGTAGTAGCCCTAATATCAGACCTAGCTAGACTCCTGGCTTGTTCTCTTCCTGATTGTCTTCTCCTAGACCTCGACCTCTCTAATTACCCATCACCAACTTTTGTGTGGTCAACCACCAGCGTCGACATTTACCCCCTAGTATCTTTGCCTCATTCCCTCATTTGATCAGCCGGATACGGCATTGGCATTCAATTGCGGTCCTCATTTTCCACTGCTCTTCACTGGCACGGATGCATCGCCGCCACCGAGTTGCTCATGGCTAAACTCTGGAATGCCCTCAAAAGGGGGGGCAAACGCAGCACCTCCCAGAGGCTTGCACCCATGAGAGATGGCAATATCGATCGGTACGTACCTACTCTGGATGTTCGAGTTCTTCTAGCTTGCTGTCGATGGCCTGCGCAAGTGTGGTGGGAGCGGAGCTCTGGGGTCTTGCCAGGAGGAAGGAGCTTGGTTGGCCCACTTTACCCCGGAGTCGTCCCTTCCACACCTCACCCTTCGACGCACCTCCAACCTTTGGCTACCAGAACAACCTACCTACGACGAAAATACCATCCGAATTGCTCACTGACTCTCGTAGCAGGACCGCGCAAGCTTTGCAAGAAGTGACGGCATCAAGAGCAAACATGGCGCCGAGAGAGCCCGCGCGAGCTCTCAAAGCAGGCGGAACGGAGCATTCCCGCTCTCATTGTGAGATCTTTTGGATATTTGCTCTCGCTCTCGAGGGTCAGACTGACAAGAGAAAACAGACGCAAGGGACAGTTCACCTCACGGGGGACACGCTCAACGGGCAGAAAACCACCACGATTGCAAGCATCGCGAAGGGGAGCCTCGCCGGAGACGTATTAGATCAAGCCGCGCGACCAGCGGCCCTAAGGCGTCCTCGCAGACTGCCACGAGAATTACAGCCGGTGAAAATGATGGACGCTACGCGTCAGCTTACCCTCAAGATATCCGCATGACTTATTCTCACGCTGATACGAGCTTGATCACATCTCCTGCGTCGTACACTTCTTCAACAACGCAGGTTCAAGGTGACCATCCAAGCGATGTACAGTGCGACAGGATGAGCGTCAGAAAAGAGAAATCCCGCGACTAGGAGACCGAGATTCCTGTTCACCTCGACGACAACAATGATGGCTACTACTGTTGCGGATGTGGTATCCGCCGTTCTGATGAGCACCACAAGATCCGCAAATTTCGGGTTGGAGAACCAGTCTGGCGCAACTTTTGTCACTCATGCCACGAAAAGCATCTTGCCAGCAGTGACTACAGGAAGCTGAAGCAGTACGGTAATTTTTGCTTCGGTTGTGGCTTTGCTCGCTCATCCCATTTCAACAAGCAGCATCCCGTCAAACGCGGCCATCAGCCCGCCAAGAACTTTTGCGCCCACTGCATGAAGCGGAAGTTCAAAAAGGCAGTCACTCCTGCCGAGACTGTCCTCGGCTTCGTGAGTCTGCACTTCATGCAATTGTAGAGTCTTGCTAACAGCCCTAGTCGTCCGATGAGAGCGACGATAATTTGGAGGAAGACTCTGACGACACTCTTCGCCCGCAATCTCCTGACCGCTTTGTCCGACAACATGACGCGAACACGGATGATCAGAGCAGGCTTGAGTACGGTACTGCAAACAGCGCGGGAGGCTCGCAGAATTTCAGCAATGATTCTGTTGATATCTCGCCTTCAAGATCCGTCCAGGATCGGCTGCGCAAGCGCCGCTCTGACCGATACGCACCTATTACTCGAGAGTCTACTGCCGGGCTTCACGATGGGATCATTCACGACAATATCGAATCCGTTGCCAACAGCAGCTACAAGTCTCCAACAGTTGAGGACACCTCCAGTGCAACGACTTGCCAGCCAGATCACAGAGAGGCACTTTCAGATGGCCAGACTTCGCATGTAAAGCAGACCTCTGCTGCTATCCCTCGCACTCCCAGCCCGCAGATCAACCCTCTGCCACGCGTGGACGATACGAAAGACAGTGCTATTGGCGTCGGATCGTCGTATTGTTCAGACCAAATCTCCCCGTCCAAGAGAGCCACCTTTAACGAGCGCGTGGAGGTTCGCACGTCCCCTACGTATTGGCAACATGAACACTCCGAGAACGATGACAGCTACGCAAACTTCCGATCTGAGCAGTACCACGAGGCTCTTGGGGACGGCAAGAAAGCTATCCCACTCGAAGCTCCCTTGCGAGACCCGGACGGCTTCAGTGCCCGACGCGATCATCTTCAGCATTATAGCGTCGATGAGGAAAGCTTCAACTCTTGGAGCGTCCCGACTGTCGGATATGACGGCTTTGCGGCATCCAACACTTTCAACTGCAGTTCGTTGGCTGGCAATGCTAGTTCAATGCAATCGCATCCCAGTACTTTATACACTGCCAAAGACTGTCACTCGACCGATCGATCGACCGGCAGCTGCGGCAACTTTTCAAGATCCCAAGGCTCAGGTTCAACCTTCAACGACCGGACTTCAGACCCCAGAGACAGATGGTCGCAACGAAGAGGCGAGAACAGCTCTCAGCGCAACCTTGGAAAGGAGAATCAGCCTTGCTCCATGAACTACTCGGGCTGCGATGATGCCTCCACGCTGTATGAACACGTCGACGCCACTGATGGCTTCCGAGAGCATCGTGACACCAGCTGGTCTGACGACTACGATGGAGCCTCCTACATCAACCATGCGGACAGCTCTCGCTTCTCAGAACCTTGTGGTGCCTGGGACTTTCAATCAGCTCGTTCTGGTAACCGCCAGCCAGCCTCTTTCAACAGCAGCACTGAAGAGCCCCAGCGCGGCTTCCAAGATCTGCCTCAGACTTCTGATCAAAGTAGTGAAAGCGCTCCATTCAACGTATCATACCAGCCATCGTCCTGGAACGGTCAGGATTCGAGCCATCATCACCCCGACTCCCGCAACAGACAACACGATCACCATCCGCATTCTGCGAATAATAATTGGAATCAACACCGCCAATCGTACGAAGGCCAAGCTCCTGGCAGATCGAACCGTTTCTCTTCTGGTTCAAGCAGCCGCAATACTCGTCAAGCACCTAACTACGTGCACGAGACTCCCTGCGACGCCGACAATCCTTCTGATTCCACCGCTACCGGCCACACGCAGTCTTCGTTGTACGAGCCGAAGCCCCCCCCTGTCGGCTTTGCCATGGAGATCCCTGACGACATGTCTAAGAGCGAAGTCCAGACCATGTTCATCCCCGGCTATGACGACTACGTCCCCTGGTGTAGCACCAGCTCAGTCTAAGACGCTGCACCCTCAGACCATGTCTTTCAAAGATATCAAACAGACAGACAAGTTAGTTCGCGATGTCTGAATCTTTCTCGCTCGGAACCAATCATATTGCCATCCGGCACTACAAAGGCACCAGCGAACACACATTGTCGACTTTACTTTCTGCCGCACACGATTTGCAGAAGTTGCTACGGAATAATCAGTCTTGTACGCCTGTTCGACTTTTATTTTCTTTTTTCTTTTTCCTTCTGTTTGTCATTTCTAGTCCTTTTTCATTGATTATCCCCCCTTCTTGAAACATCAACACTTTCGCCGCGGACCGACACCCTTGCTCGACACGCAGCTTTAATTCAACGACAGCAGACCCCTTCTTTTGACTTTCACCTCATGCATTACCGGGTTTCTTAGAGCGGCGATTGCAGAGCTCGGTCACTTCAACGACGTCGACGTGCGCTGCAAAACTGGCAGTATGGGCTTTGCAAGGAGTGTTCTTGGGCGGTGTGGGTATGGATGGGAACGAAACCTCGAGACTCTTTGGGCACATTGCCACTGCAAAGCAACTCAGGGTACGCTTCTTTTGGTACTCGAGCACAGGATTGGGCATCAACCGCAAGGTTTCTTTGTTGGGTTTGATTGGAGGTACTTTTACATGGCCGTTGGACTGCTTCCTTTTGGGAACTTCACTGGGTGGAGGCTGCCTTCTACTTTTCTGCACAGAGAATTGAGGAAGAAGACAGCAGACTGTCAATCGTACTTAGCTAGCTATACTCTGACAAAAGCAATTGACGACTAGATTAGACACTGAAGACCGTTCTCCTGAGCTCGAACGATGGATTCTGCATCTTCTCGCTTGCGTTTCCGTAGCCCGGACAGCGAATGTCAAGGTATCAATGTCTTTTTGCATTCATGATTTTCGTAGTCATCTATCCTACTCTTGCCTGCCCGGAACAGACTTTTTCCCGTCTCTTCCCCAATCCTGACCAGCCCTTAACCTGGAATGCCCATAGCAGGCTATTCCAAAACATGTACTCTAATGATGCCCTGTACTGATATTGCATTCGTGCTCTCTCTCGCTCTCTCTTTCTTCTCGCAACGCTTGAGCACCTTATACACCATCTAAATAACTTCTACCGCCGACCATTCAGCTCCTTGAAAGGCGCCCCCAACCTACGGATCAACGAGGTGGCCTGCGACGACCAGGCTTTCTGGATCCTTGGTGGCGTGGTGATTGACTACGGACGTCTGACCTTGCCCTACCGGCATCCTATTTGGGTGGGCTCTGGGAATCCTGTAGTGGCGACGGAACTCCCAAACCTGGTGTCTGCCCCCTCATGGCCGTCGGGGGCGCGCTGGCCGGCGATCCGCGTCTGGATGCCGTCCTGAGCGCCACGTACCTTACAGCCTCGAGGCGCTTCTCTTCAAAGAAGCGACTGCGCTCGCGCTCCCTCTCAATGTTAGCTCGTCTCTCGCCATACTCCTCGGCCGCCTCGCTCAGAAGCCGACTCTTCTCCGCGTCCGTCCGGATTCGCCGTTCAGCCTTGGCGCTGGCCTCGTCCAGCTTGCGCGCCGTCGATGAGGAAACACGTTGGAGGGGTACGTCTTCCGGGCGAGGCCGGGACGAGTCGCCCCAGAAGCACCGGAAGGTGACTTTGGTCTGACTTGTATCGGCAGGCGTTCCCCAAACAACAATCTCGTCGCCATCGTAGATGGGTATCCAGTTGCGAGCTGCACCGGTGGGGTTCTTGCAGTCGTGCGACGGAAGACCGTAGCCGTTGAGGAGAACGCCGTTGGTGGCTTTTGTCGAGAGATAAAATGTATAGCCAGCCCCGGTGTCGTTCTTGTCCCAAGGCTGTTCCCGTCGCCACCTGTTGGGGTCAAAGCCATCCTTCCACAAGACGATCTTGGCTGCGTATTTTGGAACTCTTATCTCCGTCTTTGGATCATATATAATCATGTTCTCCGGTCCTCTGCCCCAAGACATGACGATTTCATTAACTGGGACAGAGATTCCAGAAACGACCGATCCAGGCGATGACTCGAGAACAGCAACGGCTCGCTTCGTCCTCGTCCTCTCCTCCTGTATCGGAACGATGATGTTTTGGGTTTCTGGAGGCAAGGTATCTGGAAGCGAATCCTCTTCCGCCGGGGGTGCCGTGGCAGGAATGTCCCACTCAGCTCCGTCCAAAACCTTTCTATCGTCCCGCTTCAGCATTGTCTTTGTGTCGTTGATGGTTGACGCTTCGTTGACGTGCAGCGCCGGCAGGCCGTTGCTTGGAGGGAAGTACTTGAAAGCCAATTCCCACAGGGGCGACTGGCCAGGCTCGAACTTTTCGCCCCGTGATTGAGCTGCTCGGTCGAACATGTCATATTGGAGCTGGGTCATCTCGGGATATCTCAGATGCCAGCTGGCGAGGTTGCTTCCCCAGAAGCCAATCTTGTTGTAAGGCTTGTCGATTTGACGCCCGGATTCGAGTCTCTTGATTTGTGGCACTGAAGCAAGAAGCTTGTACTCCTCTATCTCTTGGTCCACCAGGGCATCAAGATTCCCTTCAGACTTTAGGCGTTTGAAGGCTGGCTTCTCCCGAGGTCTTGGTTCGAACTCATCGCTTGTGTCGACAGATGACGGCTTCCTTTTGCTGGCGGTGTAGAATGTGCCGTTTACCTGCGAAGTTGCTGCAGATTTCATCTGGAAATCAGCCTCCGTAGCACCGAGGCTCTGCGAAGCGACATTCCTGACCAAGCTTTGCAGTTGATCCACGGACTGACCTTCGGCAGCAGAGACGGATAGTCTTGCCCCACTACTGGGATGCTTCTGTCCGATAATGGTCGAGACGTCTCCCGAGTCATAGCTGTCCCGAATCTCCGTCTCCAGGCTTTCACCGCTAATAATACTCGACTCGCCCAGGTTGAGGCGGTCCTCTGGTATTACCCCGGAACTTCCAACAGCCGACACATTGACTTCCCCGAACAATTTCGGCTGAGCTCCTTGCCCAGGAGGCCCGAACGTGCCGTTCTCCTTTTCGGAATCCTCCTCTATGAAGTCGTCTACAATGTCGTCGTCGACTACATCCTCGAATTGTGGTTCCTCGTCAGCCAGCGTGCGGGATTGTCCGTCTTGCAAGCTGAGCTGTGAGGCGTTGATCTGGAGCTCCTCTTCCTCATCCGTAATTTCATCAAATGACTGGTCGATGCTTGGCTGCGACTTGACTCGGAAAGCCCCCAGCCATGGATGGGACTGCAAGTCCTTGACCGTCGCACGGCATTCCGGTCGCTTCTCCAGCATCAGACGAAGAAACTCGATGCCGTCCTGAGAAATGTTGGCCCTCACTAGCGGCGTCGTGTTAAGTTGCTGCGTCATGATGGTGTGAAGCAACTCCGAGTGGCTCACACCGTTCTTAACGGGGTACGGCGGATAGCCAGTGAGGGCGTAGAACAAAACTCCACCAAGCGACCAGACGTCGACGACATGGTCATATCTTTGCCCTACAGCAGCGCGCTTGACCCTGTTGCGCGGGTGCCGACGCCCTTGATCATCGTATTCAGCGTACTCCGAGTATACTTCTGGTGCGCAGTAGAGCAGTGTGCCGCAGAAGGTCCGCAAAAAAGTTTGCTCGTTGTCCACCATTTTCGAGAGCCCAAAGTCGGTCAGCTTCACATCGAATGGGGACAGTGAGTGAATCAGAATGTTGTCGGGCTTGACATCTCTGTGGGTGATGTGATTCTCGTGCAAGTGTGCCAAAGCGCTGAGCAGTTGAGATGCCATCTGCTTCACAGATTTCTCTTGTAAGGGCCCCCTGGTGCTGATGAGCTTCCCCAAGTCGCCGCCGCCAACGAACTCCATAATGATGATAAATAGACGGTTTTCCCAGTCGAAGTGCTCGATGTATCGAACAATGTTTGGCTGTTCACGGTCAGTGATCTGCAGGTACGGGCAAGATGGAGGGAAGCGCAGCCTACATGTTCAAGCCTCTGCATGATTTTCATCTCATTTTCCACCTTCTGGTCCATAACCCCGTTCTTGATGAATCTACGCTTGTCGAGCTCTTTGGCAGCATAGGGGTTGCCGTCAAATTTGGAGGTGACCTTGTATACTACGGCAAATGCTCCCTTACCAATCGTATTGATGCGGTTGTACTTGCCGGATCCATCCCATTCCCTCGAGAACCTCTCTGTATTGCTCTGGGTCGGTCCGGATGGCAACGCTATCCTCCGCGGCACGGCATTTTGCTGTCTTCTAGGTGCGTTGAAGAGGTCGACGTGACCGCCTGGACCAGGGGTGATGGTCTCATTTTGCTTTTGACGCAAGCGCTCCATATTGTCAAAGTATTCCTCCAATTTTGAGATGTACGCGCGATCATATTCGCCCTGCCTCTTGGGTAACCTAACCAAAAACTCGAGGTCGTGAGCCTCATGATGCATTAGAATCTTGACCTTGGAGCCGTGACTAAGGACCCTCCTCGTGTCGCATTTCTCGTTTGGAGCCTTGGACTTGGCGCGCAGCAGGGTGCCGTCGACGAAGGTGCCGTTCGTGGACTGGTCCTCGAGCATGACGACTCCGTACGAGTTGACGTAGATGCGAAAGTGGACATTGCTCAAGCGCTTCATCGGGTCGTTGGCAAAACATATGTCGCAGCGAGTGACGTTGCGGCCAAACAGAAACCCATTGAGGGGATCCTTCGTTTGAGCTGACAACCTCAGGATCACGGCATATTCGGAATTCGGAGGTGTCAGCTGGAACTGGTCGGCCCTGTCTTCCTGCTCGTAGTCAGGCTCCACAGCGTCTGCCTCTGCTCGCACTATGATATGAGGCGAATGTTCCCTGGCGATACGATGGATCTCTCGGCGGGCGAAATCGGAGTGTGGGTAGAGCAAGCAGATGATGTCGGAGATGTCCTCATCTGAGAAGCCCGAGTTCTGCTTGCCTATGCGCCTGGGATCGAGGACATTCTGGGTAGCTGGAAAAGCAAATGGTTAGCGTCTGGTCGCAAGCACAAGACAAGAGGAAGCATCAA